ATCAAAGAACCTATGGAAGCAGCAGGAGTGAGGAGAAACGTGCAAAGGTAAGAGCGGTTGATATCTACATGAAGGCTGGGATGCAGTGTGTGTGTGTGTGTGTGTGTGTGTGTGTGTGTGTGTGTGTGTGTGTGTGTGTGTGTGTGTGTGTGTGTGTGTGTGTGTGTGTGTGTGTGTGTGTGTGTGTGTGTGTGTGTGTGTGTGTGTGTGTGTGTGTGTGTGTGTGTGTGTGTGTGTGTACTCTTGCTCTTCAACATGCCTGCAGCTTGATGAATGCTTTCTGCTGCTGTTATCTGTCTCATTTGCAGCTAAGAGAAGACAGCCAGGGTTAGGAGTTTCTTCACCTTGACACAGCAACTTAAGCATTAGCACATCTGTGACGCCTTAAGCCCTGTAGCAGCTCAGTGTCTTGTTACTTGGAGAAAAGGACAGTGATCTTAACAGCTTTTGTGTGGCACCAACAACATCCTCTGCCTTATCATATAGGTTTATCATGATTAGTGAGTCACTTTGGAAAATGTCAACAAGTAAAGAGGCTGCCTAGCTTACAGGAACACATGCAGAAATGTACATGAATTTAAATGACAAATGCTAAATATAATTATATCAGTTATTAAGGATAAACAGTATGATAGACTGATTCTGGGATTTTTTTGTTTTGGTTTCTTTATTTTTCTGTCAGCAGGATTATAGAACAACTACTGGCCCAATTTGTATGAAAGTGTATAGCATTTGCCAAAGAAAAACCCATTACATTTTGGCTTGAATATCAGAGCGGATTTTATGCTTTACTTCTGGAAACGGCCTTGATGGTGGTCTGCACTCTCCAAGTGCCCTACTAATCCAAAATGTTATTATTCTCCAGCTGTCAGACCCATGAAAAAGCTTTTGCATCAAATGAATAGGACTCTTATTTCAGAAACCGAGAAGGCTAAATTAAGTCGTCCTATTCACATCACTATTGGAAAGCAGCCCTGGCTTTCATCTGGTGTGAACACGTAAAATATATCATATTTGAACTCATATCACAGGATATGTTATCTTGTGAGTCTGGTCAAAAATGTTTTTCTGCTTCATTAAACCTTACTGCTGAGCTTCATTGTGTAGAGTTGTGCCTCAAAAACACAAAAAGTACAGCCTGCTTCTACAGCACAGTTTTCTACAGTTCATTGTTTTATGCGGAGCTGGTCACTGATTTAATTGGTACTAATTTCCTTTCGTCCTCCCAATGAAATGCTGGTACTGAGCCCAGGTGTTCACACTCCCCCTATACTGTAAGTATTTGTCTTGTTTTGTCTCTTTGTTGCTCAGGTGGAACTTTATCTGATAACACTCTTGCAATTTAGCTGCTGGTGATTTACTTTGCATTTCTTAGCTTCTCTATCGCTCCTTCATTAACATGCATTGTGTGTTCGGTTTTTTCCGAGCCTTTTCCAATCAGCTGCTGTGCATCATCTGTCTGAAGGAGACTGGCTGCGTGCCCTCTGCCTGATGCTACACAGCGCCACCTTTACTTTGGCAGAGTCTCCGTCTGTGGAGCTAAAGGTTGCATCACGGCCCTTTAGATCTCCAATTATAGATCAAGAGTGGCAGCGGATCTGTGAATGCACTAAAAGTAATTTATGTCTATACAATATGTTAATGAGGGGTTGATCTTTATTGCTAAAGTCACCAGTAAGAAAGAGTTTAAAACTAGAAAAATACTTGTTTTCCATTTTTACGTTCTCCCATACTATACCCACATTCAATTTACAGCTATAACAGTTACAAATGTACCACTCAAAATGATCTGAGACTTTTAACTTGATTGCAGACAGGGATAAACATATAGGCAGAAGGCATAAATATGGTATCGCTATTGGCCTTGGAAGATTACCGATGCAGCCAAAAACCCTCTTTACACAGCTTTTGGTGCAGGCAAGAACATAAAAATCACCATCAGTTTTGCATTGTATTGCTTTGACTGCTCCATGCAACCAATCCACATTTGTGAGAAGGGATTTTAAACCAGAGGTACATTTATTTTCGGATTAATATCGTTCAGCATGGGATCAGCCCTTAACCTGAATGTAAAAGTGGTGATACATGAATAACAATACCTTCCTAAAATTATTTATATGGATTGCAGACTGTTGGCTTATGAACTGGATCAAATAGAAAGTGGTTGGTTGTAGATATACTGTATCTTGCTTGGATTTGTTTATCATGCCTTGAGGTTTGTTGTTTTTTTAATTGTAGGATATCTCCTGAAGCATGGAAGGGTTAGATTAACATTATTTTTGAGACAATGTTTGTATTTGGTTGTTTTTTATGCTGTGAAAGGATGGTGGGTTAACTTGCTCAAAAGTTAGATTGTTTGTTAGTTGATGTGTCTGAATAAGTCCATGAGGTGTGGGTCGTGTAAAAGACATTCATTCATATCTGATTTTCTTATCCTATCTCAAATGTCTACTCATGCATAGCATTTACTACTATAGAGATAATCTGCACATCAGAAAATCACTGCACCAAAGACTACAGTACATTGGAAAAATCATTACAGAGAAAAAAAAACAATGTGTATTTGGGCTCGGCTCCTCTCTCTCTCTCTCTCTCTCTCCCAGTCTCGTCTCTCTCCCGTCTCTCTCACATTCTCTACTCTCATCGCCTCTCTCTCTCTCGACTCATCTCTTATCTCGCGTCTGCCTCGTCATCTCAACCCTCTCTCTACCTCTCTCGCTCTCGATCTCCTCTATCGTCATCTCCGGGCTCTCTCTCTCGTTCGTCGCTCTCTCTCAGTAGTCAAAAGTGCTCATCTGCATCTCTCCTCGGCGTCGTCTCATCTCTCATCTCTGCGATATGCTGGCACTCTCTCGTCCTCCGTTCTCAATTCTCTCATCAGTCATCAGGTCCATCGTCTCTCGTGCGTTCGTACTCGGATCTCTCTGCCAAATCGGGGCAGCTCGACTCTCTCAGGCAGAAGTCCTGCAGTCGATCGCTCGGTGAAATGCATCTCCTCTCTCTCTCTCTCTCTCTCTGATTGTCTCTGAGTAAAGAGATTAAGATAGCATGCGTCAATCCAGGATTTAGAGCAAGAGAGACAAATACATCCTCCTCAGAGACAGCCAACTCCGCTGCTTGGACGGCTTGTGCTCAAGCTGCCTGACAGTCATCAGATAGAAACACAATAGCTAGCAGCAGCATTAAATATTATCTGTGTAACTTAATTCGGGCTTGCTTGGACTCCTGTAATAGATATATTTTATCTAAGTTCACGAAGGGCAAGTGTCTGTGCTCGTCTGCATTGCACAGCATTATGATGCAACATGATTACTGTTGGAATAAGGAGGGGTGTGCGTGTGTGCGGGATTATAGAAAAAACATTTTGCCAACCATTTATGTTATGATAATTTCTATTGCACTGAGGACATTTTCAGACCACAGCTCTCACTGAATATTTCACTATTCTGCAGGAAAATCTTTGTGTCAGGTTAAACTAAACAAAGAATATATATATACAAAAGAAAACAATACTGTTGTAAACTTGGAAACAGTCCTAATCCCGAAGGAAACAGGTAACCTAGTATTCCTCGCCTTATAGCTCCACTTCCTGCCTGGAAGGAGAGCAGGTATCTAAATGTAATGCCCCAGTCACAGCGACTAAGAGGCTTTTCCTATTCTAGGTAACAAGCAGTGGGCCAGCACTAACCAGCACGCTGTAATGCAGAGACAGTTAACACAAGCTCCAAATTGTGTCCTTGCATCAAAGTCGCACAACTATGGATCTGTTTTCATATGTACCCAGAGATCTCTAAAGAAACAGAATTGTGCCTTACATTACTTATTTTCTCTGATAAAGAACCAACAAGTTGCACAGGTGGAAACAAACGTAATAATAAAAAGAAAGAAAAAACATGAATGTGTTGCTTATTGCCTATTTAAAAGCTCTACAAGTGGCCAGAGAGAAATAACAATAAGGAAGAGAACATGATAACATTGTATATGAGATAAAACCATTTCAGCAAGTAACTTCCGTATGGACACCTAAGAAAATGATAAATAAACGTTTAATTTTTAGGTCCACAGGGTCCAAATTAAGCGAGAAATGTCAACTTGGAAGTGAGAATGTTTTTCTATCCTGCAGCAGAGAGAACATTTCTTCCCCCAGATGGTAAGAGGAGTATTTAAGGAGTCTGGAAACACCTTGAGAACAGCAGCAAATGCTGTTAAACAACACTTTGGGTTTTTCAAAGACTGACAGGTGAATGCTTTGCTCTGTGACTTGAATGTAATGGGAATGCACAAAGGGATTTCCTCTAAAAGAGACCAGTTCTTTGGCGCTTATATTTGGATATCAACAACAAGATAAATCGTTTTTGTAATGCAAATGATGAAAAGGATGTCAGATACTGAAATGCAACACTTAACTCATGAGAGAAATGTTCAGGTAAAACAGATATATCTCAGAAAATCATGAAGGAACTTGACTGCACCTGCTGCTATACATTACAAAACTGCTATCACATGTGGAGTGGTAATGATTGGAAAATCACACAGCGAGAGTTAATAGCAGATCCAAGGGCCAAAAGTGGAAGAAAAGGGCAAGAAAGAGATTAATTCCATCTGATCTTCACAGGCCATTAGTTATGCAACTCTCTCTGCAGCCCGTGGTTTTCAACTAGACAAATTACATAATACAGGCATGTGGATATGCATCTCTATCCGGGCATTGTGGCTGCTTTAGTGGGCAATGATTTGGAAAGGCGGCGGCCTCACACAGGGATTAACGCCCAGTGCAACAGATGGTGCATTCTCCTACTCTTCCAGTTTGCTTAGACACACACACACACACACACACACACACACACACACACACACACACACACACACACACACACACACACACACACACACACACACACACACACACACACACACACACACACACACACAGGCTCACACACACAGGCACACACACACAGGCACACACACTCAAATCCAGAATATTCCATTGTTTTTACCTTTTTCTTGGGTGGCATGGTGGTTAAAGGGGTCCACTGGTGTTATCCCACGGATGTACTGACCAGCTCAGATTATCGTTCAACCGGTTCCAGAAAAAGAGACATGGACAAGTAATCCATGAGACAGAGTTTACCTCTGAAACAGGTGGATGTGTCCGAGGACGCCGTTTAACTCAGCAAAAACACCCTTCTTTGAGCGTCTTTTTGTGCGTTAAAGTGAAATATTCCTCAAGGAAACGCGACACCGAGACACGGATGAGTTGCGTGAAGGGTTTCACTTAAGTCTGTTGTATTGTGAGTTGAGTGTAGTTACCCTCTCCTGAGTCCTGTGGGTATTAAAGGCTTATTTCTCGGTGCGGCATCTGTTGCTCTACACACACCGTTCAATCTGACCTCCAGCGGCCAACAAACCAAGAAGGTGTCCAACCCGTCCGCACTGTCCATGCGCGTAAAATAAAGCCAAGTGAGGAGTGTGTGATTTATGTTGCTGACCAGATTTGGCTCCCTCCGCTGTGATGCCGTATTAGTGTGTGTATGTGGGTGTGTGTGCATCCAAATAACTTCCCGCGGTTTGGCTGCACAAAATGGGAGAATTATAATGGCCTGGCTCCAACAGAAAGATGGAATTAACACGCACGACATTATTCCTTTACAACAGACCTACTCATCACACCGAGAGCGACAGAGTGATAAAAGCTATGTTTTATATGTTAACGTATCAAACTTGACTAATATACATTCAGTAGAATAGTTTTACTTAGTACCACCTTGGCCATCTGCACAATTAAAAGGCCAGTTTGCTCAAATTACAACAAAGATTTTTTTTGTATTATTAGCAGATAGGTTTTGGGGTTTTACGACACCAATACCATGTCTTCTGTCTGCTGCCAGTTTAATGGAGGTCAATGGACAATTTATTTTGAAAACTGACATTTAAAAATGTAGGATTCCTACAGATTCCTACTTAATAATCCTCAGAACAGACTGACAGGGGCAATTTCTTATATAGAAGGTAAATCCAATTAAAAATTGTTTTCCAAAATCACAAAACTTGGACAAATTATATAAATAAAAACCTGTGTGCATGGATGCCATGTTTCATACTTTACTTAAATTAATCTTTGAGTGAAGTACTTTTAATTAAAAGTATTTCTACACTGTTGTAAGAATCTTAAATCTACCTCCAGCACGTTTTATCTGAAATGCAAAGCCCCTTTCCTACTAGAAAAAAAATCCACTTAAATCTGGCTTTTGACTTAAGTGGGACAGGATTCCAATTGAACCCTAATTTTGAGGGGAAACTGGTACGAGTTACGCTGTGTGGTCCATTTGTCTCTGTGGCCTGTCACCCGGACAGACTTGCAGGGGACGTCAGCAGATGGGCAACACAGTGAGGAACCAAAATCTCCAGGGAGAGCTTTGGGACACAGATGAAAGTGTTACATAACGGAGAAGGGAAAGGAAAAAACGCACGGCCGAGTCATCAGGAGCAAGCTGTGAGAGTGTGGTGCAGGAAGCTGTGACACTTACCTCTGGGTCAACACACGTCTGTTCCTAGAATACACACAGCTGCACACACACACACATCCTTATCAATATCTCTATTCCTGGAGTGGACACCACCATCAGAGGTCAGAGCACTGTGTGACAGGGAAAGAGTAAATGGAAGGTCCCAGCGTTTAGCCCATGACTTGGGCTGAACCAGACGTGGGGATTTACTAAATCTGTTTCATGACACCTCAAATCTCCTCCAAAGAGAGCCAACTGTCCTCCAGTTCCAGCAAAACACTCAGACAGAGTGCCCGCTTACTTTGACTCTGAGCACAACTGTGAAGATGTTACATAAAGCAGTCAAATCATTCCTGTGCTGCAGAAACAAGCTGCCAGAATGAATGCATGAAGCAACTGTGAAGACACACTCCATGATGCAAACGATGACTTGATATTCAACATTTTATTGAGGATATTGTGGGACAAACATCTCCGTATACATTTGTCCCTCAATACCCTGAAGAAGACTGTCAAGCGTTCAGACTTTTAATAACATCCTGATGAGCAACTCTTCAAAACCAGCGTGCATACCACCCTCTCTCTCAAACAGTACATTAAGAAACTAAAATATTCACCACTACACTACAAAAGTGTCATGCACCTTCCAAGTATGTCAGCATGCATTTCTGAACCTGTGCAAACACAGAAAAATGTGGTTGAACTAAGTGTATTATAATGGGCAAAGTTAGGTATTAACTAGGAGCAATCTTCACATTATCATGAAATAAACAGCTTGAGCATATCCTCCATTAATGTGCTAGTATTGTGTGTTCAACAGTCCTGCAGTAATGTAAGCAGCACACGGATTCAAGTGGGGCTGCGCTGAAAGTTGCTGAACTTTGACCGATGGCTGTTGGCTGCAGCTTGTGATTCAATGCATTTTAATGTAACAAAGATATCTTAAACATCTTTTATCTTGCAGCTTAATCCCCTGACAAGGCACTATCGCTACAAGCCATAAACAACCTGTCAGTCTTCTCACTCCCCTACACAGCACACGTGTTCATGTGCATGCGCTCTCACACATATACACATCTGTCCCTAAGCTTCTTACTACCGAAGTGTGCGTGCGTGCGTGCGTGCGTGCGTGCGTGCGTGCGTGCGTGCGTTTGTGTGTCAAGCTGGGGACAGTAGAGCAGGTTCTGCAGAGGCAGAGATGGATGTCACGCACAATATCAGGCAGAGCTCCAGACTCCGGCCTCCCCTCTGCCCTCCCCTCTGCCCTCCCCTCTGCCCTCCCCTCTGCCCTCCTCTCTACCCTCCCCTCTGCCCTCCTCTCTGTCCACACAGCGAGAAACCACACATCTGCCCTCAGCAAAAAAAAGCACAGACAGCTTAATAGTTTGACCAAACAGCTGTTGGACACATCAAGGCACTCGAACGATCAAAGACTATGGTTTTATCTGCTCTGTTTTTAATCTGGAAATACTAAACTCACCCAATAAAAGACACCCCTTCTTTAATGCAAAACTATGCTTTGGTTAAGCATGATGCCAACATTCTCTGTGTTGACATTCCTACAGTATATGTAACATTTGTTAAGAGAACAGTCCAAGATAAAACATTAGAGCGGATAATGCAGAAAGATATTTGAGAAAAAACACTCAAAGTGAATTCCTAAGATCCACCTGCAGCCTCTCTGCTCCTTCCTCTCTCCACTCCTCCCACCTTCCAGTCAGAGAGGAAGTACTCACCCAGGAGACATTTTTGTTCTTGGGCACTCTTGACATGGCTTCCAGATGGAGAGGTCAAGGGCCCACACACGCACGCACGCACGCACGCACGCACGCACGCCGGAGGCTGGGGCAGCAAACGGCCAATCCTGCCCTCCTAACATCTGGGAGAAGAGAGGTGGAGAAAAGATGGATGGAAAGAGGGAGGTGGAGAAGAAGGAAGGGAAGGATGTGATGAACGATGTGAGACATGGAGGGACAGTGAGTGAGGATGGAGGAGGTGGAGGAGGGACGACTGGAGAGGGCAGGTTACTGATCCCCAACATGAGATTATAGTGGAAAAAACATGTTTCATAGAGTTGGTCTTTGGGAGTTTTAAAGGAGTAGTTCAATATTTTAGAAAATTAGCTTGAGTGACGTGGGGAGATCAATACTCTTAACACTCTCATGTCGGTACTTAAAGTGCAGCGTTGGAGCCAAGAGACGATTAGCCTAGTTTAGAATAATTGCAAGAAGGTGGAGCCAGTTAGCCTGTCTCTCTGAAGTTAGAAAAGACCTACACAAACAGAAATATCAAATCAACAGGTTTTTGCTTCACAGGGATTGATGAGGTTTCACTTTTTCCTAGATTCAGCCAAGCGCAGTGAGTTGTTGTCACAGTGAGGTTGCAGGGAAATAATGAGTGAACTATTAAAGTGTTGACTGTCAAGAAAAAGGCTACAAGATTCAACTCCAACTTTAACCACAGATTATTTGATGTTGGGTTAGATAGGTCAATTTTCAAAGCTGCTCCTTTAAGATGTATTACATTCAAAAATTGCAGTTTGATTGCAGTTCATCCAATTAATAAAACAAAATGTCGACACCAAAATGCCCACTCTGATCAACAAGATTTTATACAAATGTATTTTATGTTGTATAACTATTTAACTTAATAACTAAGATACTGATTCAGTGTGATATCATCTTATATACATATTTCATTGGCAGTGTTATATAGAGCCTGAGATCCAAGATTTTATTGCCAACTACTACTTCTCTGTAATTGTGAATGTAAACTGAAAGCACTGAAACTAAACTTGTCAGAAACAGTATATTTATTCAAATAGCTTCCAGTTATCTTTTCTTAGTTCATAAGCAATTCATGTAAGACTGCTTTACTCCTCTAAAACTGCATTTCTAAGAATAAAATAAATAGCCGAGGCAGAACCAACCGTAAGAGCTTTTTTTTGGTCGTGCACAGAAACTCATCTGTGATCTGCTGTACCATCCCATCGCCTCCGGTGAAGTAGAAAATAGCAGTGTGACTGTTGAGTGTGGAAACAAGTCAATACCGACCACAGCTTGCAGCATGTTTACCAAATCCACAGTATTTTGATTCAGCGTTATAATCAATGTCCACCTTAGCGCTGTATGGATCTGTGGTCCTTATAGATTCACCTCCAGGAGAGTGGGCTACAGGGGGAGGAATCACAACCTCTGCAGAATTATTATTCAAGAGATGCTGCACCCCACACATGGAATACAACTGGAGGAAGGGATGTGCTATTAAAATCCCCAAAACTCTGGAGGTAACATCAGAGCTAAGTGTATTTCTTATAATATGGTCATTATTCGAGAAGGTTTAAAATCAATCAAATGTAGGAAAGTTATGCTTGTTACTTGAAAAAAAACGCCTACATCACAGTTCTCCATAGGATTTCATTTATTTTGTTGACAGCTCATCCCTTAAAACAGAAGCCTCAGATTGCTTATAATAAGAGGAAATAGGAAGGGTATATTTCAAGCTGGTTATGTAAATAAGTTATTGGGCTTTTTCTCATCAACTTAGATTTTTTAGAAAATGTTTAATTGATTTGGAAAGTGGGCTTCTTAACACAAACAATATAAAACAAGCACAAGTTTCATGTGTGGGCCATATTTCATTATA